TTCTTACTTCTTCTCCTGTTTCTCTCTAAATAAACCACTTTCTACAAACACTTTTGAGTCCAAAAAAAAATAGTAGGCATATTAATCTGTTTTTACTGCAGCCTTTCTTGGACTTTGCCAGCTTTGTGCCTCTCTATCTAGGTGAGTTTTTATCCATAGCTTCCAGTCTCAGCTTCCCTCCTCACAGAGGAAACACAGTCTTCAGCATCTCAGAGGCCTCTTAGAAGTATTTTTGCTTCTACTGCTTACAGCTTTCGTGTTCCCTGGTAAATGTCTGTAGAAAACCGTCTGTGTCATAGTAGCAGCCATGCTGTGTTGTTAAGAAAATAGGAGACAGGACGTGATAGTAGGTCAGGAGTGCATGGGGGGCCAGATCCCTCTGATCTACATGAAGAGACCACAGGAAATGGACAGAACCTTTTCTGTCCCTCCCCACAGATGTGGGAAAACAGGGATTCATAGTGTTACCTGGCCTTCTGTGCTTTTTAAACAAAACTTGCCTTATAGGAAATTGTAGGATTAGCAAATAGGGAGTATGTACATTTAATTTTGAAACAATTCTTTCTAGAGCTCTGCAAAGGTGCCTAAATGAATCCTGTTTTTCAAAAGTCTCTGCCTCTCAATACTCCTGTGACCAGGAGGGCAGCTACCCTGACGTGGCTAACTCTCTGGGTCGTTCCTGCCAGCTCCCAGATGGCTGCTTTCAGGAAGGTTTCCATAGCGACTAGAGGCAGGAAAAACCTGCCCACCCAGCTTAACAATTCACATCCGGTTGGGCTCTGTAGCCAGTGCGAGAAGTGGTGTGTTTTTATATACTTATATACATGTATATGTGTGTGTAGCATTAAAGAGGTAAACCTTGCAGACTCTTTAAAGTAGATCTAGAATCTGGCTGGTGTGGTTCATACCTGTAATCACAGCACTTTGGGAGGCAAAGGCAGGAGGATCACTTAGGAGTTCAAGACCAACCTGGGCAACATAGAAAGACCTTGTCTCTGAAAAAATAAATAAGATAAAATATATCCAGAATCTGACCATTTCTCAGCATTCCCACCATAGCAAAGTCAACATACCTTTCACCCTGACTAATCCAACAACTTCCTTTATGTTCACCACCTCCTCTGCAAGGCAGCCAGAGTGAGCTCAAAGCCCTCCCTTGCTTTCTCAGCTCAGTGAGAATGAAGCCTAGCATCTCAGCCACACTGTGAGGCCTTGCAGCCCCCTGCTGCATGTCCTCCCACTCTTTCCTCATCACTCCCCCAGCCCCTCCGGCCTGCCTGCTGCCTTGCTGCTGTTTCAGCCTGCCCAGTGTGCTCCCAGCTTGGTGCTGCTACTCCCTGGATCTCCCTTCCCTTGGGTAGCCAGGAGCCCTCACTTCCTTTTGGTCTTTGCTTACATGTCCCTAACCCTTTTTCTTGAAGAGCTTCTCCTGACCACTTGATATAAATCCCCTCTCTTCTGACACTCTCCACACCTGACCTTGCTTTCTCACAGCACCGTAGTTATCACGATCTATTTCTGTGTTTATCATCTGATTCTCTCATGTAAGGGTCAAGACTTTTTCCCCTACTGTTGCATCCCAGCCCTTAGAAGCTGCCTGGCTCTTAGTGGTACTCAGCCCCATGAGCTGAATGAGTGAGTGAGTGGGAGGAGAGCCAAGATCAGGAAAGGGGAGTGACTCCTGAGTGGGTCTTCCCAGCCTTTTCAGGCCTCCACAGCCAGATGTAGCTCATTTCTCTCCTACAGCAGCCTGTATGTTCTCCCCACTTTTACTCTGCCCTTTGAGAACAACCAACCAAACTTCTGTGTCTGGGGCTGATGGTGATGAGGAGTCTTTCTCATGATCTCAACTGGGACATGTTATGTTGAACGTAATGGATGAATATCAGCAATTTCATATGGTTCAGCATAATAGTTTTTGGTATACCTTACTGGAGAGGGCCCAGATATTGACAGTTACTTTCTAGAAATTTTTAGGACTACCGATTGCCTGATACTTACTGAGTACTCATATGTGTCAGGGAGTGTGTGAAAGGCCTTATTTGCATCATCTCACGTAATCCTCATAACCGCAGTAAGGCATAGGTATTATCATTACATTCTATGAAAAAGAAAACTGACACTCAAAGAAGTGAGGCAAACTTGCTCAAGGTTATAATAAGTCGGGGAGTAGCAGAGCTAGGATTGGACTGGAGAGGTCTTTACTTTTTTTTTGAGACAGCATCTGGATCTGTCGCCCACACTGGAGTACAGTGGTGCAGTCTTGGCTCACTGCCACCTCAACTTCCTGGGTTCAAACAATTCTCGTGTCTCAGCCTCTCGAGTAGCTGGGATTACAGGCACACACCACCATGCCCGACTAATTTTTTTGTATTTTTAGCAGAGACAGGGTTTCACCATCTTGGCAAGGCTGGTTTCAGACTCCTGGCCTCAAATGATCCGCCAGCCTCTGCCTCCAAAAGTGCTGGGATTACAGGCATGAGCCACTGTGCCCAGCCTTTGAGATGCCTTTTTGTTTTTGAGATGGAATCTCGCTCTGTCATCCGAGCTGGAGTGCAGTGGCGAGATCTCGGCTCACTGCAACCTCCGCCTCCTGGGTTCAAGCGATTCTCCTGTCTCAGCTTCCCGAGTAGCTGGGACTAAAGGCGCACGCCACCATGCCCAGCTAATTTTTTTGTACTTTTTTTAGTAGAGACGGGGTTTCACCATGTTGGTCAGGATGGTCTCCATCTCTTTGTGATCAGCCTGCCTTGGCCTCCCAAAGTGCTGGGATTACAGGTGTGAGCCACCACGCCCAGCGGAGATGTCTTTACTGTTAATCATGGTGCAGAGGATGAGTGCTGACCCCACTTCCTCCTAAGGCTGACATGTGGTCATTCTGCCACAGCCATATGCCATCTCAGGGCTCCAAGCCAGCAGGAGGCGTAATAGAACACTGGGTTCCATTCCCAGGGCCATCTAGCTGGTGGCCATGTGTCCGTCATTTCCTAGGGTGGGGTTGCATGGTGTGGCAGGGCACAGTTTTGGGAGTCCATTTGGAAACTCTGTCACTCTCTTCTAGGCTTATTTTCTCTTGTGTATGGAATAAAGGTGATGTACTTCTAAATGTGTTTCAATGATTGAATGATGACATGAACTGTTTTTTAAAACTCCTGACTCGGTCTCTTTAATTTAAAAATAGGTAATCCTTTATCCAACTCATAATTCTGAGTCAAACCCTGTATCACCTATATTTTACACTGAAGGAAGACATTAAAGTTCCATTCTCTTCACACAGAACAAACCAACCAGGATGGCTGGCCCGTGGGGAAACAGATTCTGCCGCCTGGTTCTCAGCGGGCGTCTCTGGAAGCAGGAGGGAGCACCTCTCCCACTTGGGTACCAGAGTCTCTTTAATGGTCAGGAATGTTCTGCTTTGGCCTTTATCCTAAGCTTGGTTTAGTCAGCGTGTCTCTGGGGCAGGAGCAGAAGCTGAGCTGCCCATGGGAGCTACTTTTGTCCCCACACTTGTATGTCTTTAAAGAGAACTGGGATTTTCTCACAGCTCCCTTGAAGCAGTGGTTTGATTTTCCTCTTTTTTGTTGCTTTCTCACTTACCTAATTCTTCCCGATTTATTAACACCAGAATCCCATGGCAGATAGCATGGAGAATAGGGGCTGCTATGGACCAGGATAACAATTGTCATTTCTGAACTATCATTGTCTGAAAAATGGCAAAAGTAAATTTTTTTTCACTGCCAGGTTTAGGTAAATATAATTTCAAAAACGCATACAACTTGTCTTGAAGTCTTTCAGCCACATCTCATTGTTACCTCTGTTTCCTTTCACAGAGTGAGAGCCTTTCATTGTGTAGTTAGAAGTAAAAGGTTTGGCTAGGCACAGTGGCTCATGCTTGTAATCCCAGCACTTTGGGGAGGGTGGAGCAGGCGGATCTGTTGAGCTTGGGAGTTCGAGACAAGCCTGGGAAAATGGCAAAACTCTTATCTCTAGAAGACATGCAAAAATTAGCCCGGCATGGTGGCGTGTACCTGCATTCCTAGATACTCGGGAGGCTGAGATGGGAGGATCCCATGAGCCTAGGAGGTTGAGGCTGCAGTGAGCTGTGATTGTACCCTTCTACTCCAGCCTGGATGAAACCCTGTTTTAAAAAAAAAAAAAAAAAAAAAAAAAAAAAAAAAAAAAAAAAAAAAAAAAAGCCTGATTTACAAATGGACAAATGGTCAAAGGCCTGGTATAGCCTGTAATCCCAGCAGTTTGGGAGGGCAAGGCAGGCAGATTGCTTGAACACAGGTGTTTGAAACTTGGGGGCAACATGGCGAAAACCTGTCTCTACAAAAAAAATACAAAAATTAGCCAGACGTGGTGGCATGTGCTTGTAGTCCCAGCTACTTGGGAGGTTAAGGTGGAAGGATCACTTGAACCCAGAAGGCGGAGGCTGCAGTGAGCCAAGATCAAACCACTGCACTCTAGCCTGGGTGACAGAGAGAGACCCTGAGTCAAAAAACAGTAATAATAAACAAAAATAAAAATGGGCAAAGTGTGGCTTTTCCCTTCCGTTGTTAAACAATGGCTAGGCTTCAGTTCCCACTGCCTCCAGGATAGCAAAATCAGTGTGTGGGTGGAAAGGACTCCTCTTTACAGGATAGAGGGTGCTTTAGAATGACTTTCCTCAGGCCGGGCACCGGGGCTCACACCTGTAATCCCAGCACTTTGGGAGGCTGCAGCGGGTGGACCATAAGGTCAGGAGTTCAAGACCAGCCTGGCTGATATGATGAAACTCCATCTCTACTAAAAATACAAACATTAGCCGGGCATGGTGGTGTATACCTATATTCCCAGCTACTTGGAAGGGTCAGGCAGAAGAATCTCCTGAACTTGGGAGGCGGAGGTTGCTGTGAGCTGAGATCACGCCACTGCACTCCAGCCTGGGAGACAGAGCAAGACTCTGTCTCAAAAAAACAAACAAAAAGAAAAACCTTTCCTCTTTGCCCTCCTAACAGGGCAGATGATTCTGGACCAGATGAAGTCTGAGGAGCCTTCCAACTCTAAGATAGCAGGATAGGAGACTTCAAAGACTGGAGCTGCGGAAGAGTTGCTAGCCCTCAGCGCAATGTCAGGTAGAAGCAGGGGCTGGACTTGGAAAGGGGGTGTGAAGCTCTCACAGAGGAGCCAGAGGGATGGAAGCTGGCTTGTTTGTTTTCCATAAAATACCATCCAGATAGGCCGGGCGCGGTGGCTCACGCCTATAATCCCAGCACTTTGGGAGGC